GTGGAGGAGGGGGCACTGTGCATGGGAGCGATGCAGGCAGAGAAATAAATGTGCAGGGCAGACAGCTTAACTTAGTCCATGTTTCCATATGAGGACATTGGATATATTTGCATAGAAACATATCATACATGAGAAACAAAAGGACAGCCTTCCATATAGGATGATCACAATCTGCTAACATCGGAAATTGTATCAGTGTATCCTCAATTCCCTTCCTTTAGTTCCCTTAAACTGTTTCGTTTGTGATGCCGTTTATGAAATGTCACCTGATGTTTTTTCCTTTTAAAAAGAATCATACGTTTATACCATATTCTCTCACCATTTATGTGCAATATCTGTAACTGCTGAACTAAGTCTTATGCATTCACAAAAGGATTAAAACTAATAAACTTAAATTCACACTAAAATGTATAAATTGAATACATCTGCTGCCCAGTTTAGGAACATTAACTTTGCTACTTTTCTGGATATTTTGGGGTTTAATCTTGTTTTTTGGTTCCTTCTTTTAGACAGACTACACTGCACACCAAAATATTTATATTTTCTTCTTGATGGTTTCCTGCAAAGTCAAGCATTACATTTTTCAGTTAGTAAAAGCTGTTGAATGTATTAGCCAATTCAACACATAAACACCCAATGTAGGTTTCTGCAAACCTGCAACTGAAAACTCATTCACTCAATTAGTTTTTTTTATTGTTGTGTAGAAAAAAAAAATAAATGGGTAGAAATACATGAAGCAATGTCATAGTAATATGCTGGGTTTAAATGTTAAACTAAAATGTAACTAAATTGTTCATGTAACAAACAGAAAGAGAGGACCCAGCATTCAGCATGACAAGACAGATAGTTAAAAACTATTTATTGTAATGTAAACTAACGCAGGTCAAGCATGCATTAGTAGCATCTGAAACAGGAACCACTGGAAGTGAACACTACAGGTAAGTGAACAGAAAAATACTTTGGGAGGTGTTACAGTCACTGAAACTTTGGTTACTAACCTTCTCAATATACTGGGACAGGCTTGGAATGAGAGTGATGGCTCCTGTTGGCTTGTTGCATCACTGGAGAAGCAGAATATGATCCAGAATCATTTCCAAGCAGTTCAGATGATTTTACTCATGGGACTGGCATGAAATCGATAGTCAAAGAATTAAGCACTGGGTCAGAACCGAAGTGGCAGAGACAGGCAGGATGATCAGGAAGAATAACCAGAGTCGGTTTATTGTTGGATATACCCAACAAAATAGACTGGGTCACCATCGATGAGTCACCTGGGTGGAGGGGGTCTGAAGGACGGATCAAATCTTGAAGTCCTGACTGGTTTGAACCAGGAGACTTGAAATGTGGAATGAATACTGATGGTTGAGAGCTGGAGGCAGACAGACACCAGTTTCACCACCTTAAAGATCGGGAAACACAACAAAATGAGATGCCAACTTTCTTCTCACCACCTGTAGTGGCAGCTCCTTTGTGGAGAGCCACAACTTCTTGATAAGGAAAGCCCACACTTAGGAGCGATACCCACCAAGAGCTGAAAACTCATTTAATATATCTAATGTTAAGCTGATAATTGGGTGAACTAAATGTTTTTTATTTAAACATGAGAGTTGTGTACCGCCTGTTATCATTGTTTTATTTCTGTCATGTAAATGGAGCCTGAGAAAAAATATTGGCCTAAAGAAATGTGGCACAATTTTTTGGAAGAGCATATCAGGGATATGTGGGGTTAGACGTATATTACAATAATCAATATCAGCTTTGATCCGAAAAAGCATCACAATCTCTAATGCATACCCTTAAATCCCAAACACTGTAACTTCTGTTTATAATTACTATTAAATACAATAAACAATTACTACTCCAAAAGTAAAATTCTCCAACAATACTCAGCAAACACAAAGAGAATCCATTGTGCAACGACTCATAAGATGAGCTATTATGCAAAAATAAAAATTAGGCAAAAATAATTAGATTTAGAGCTGTTACTGAAAAACAGAAACAGGTTATATCATTGTCAGTTTCAGGCATGTTGTATTGCGAAAAATTAAGATCTTTAACGTTAGTTACCTGCAATACTTTTTTGTATATGCGTACAATGATTCATAAGGTTGCACCAGGACATGTCAATATTTGCTTGAAGAGTACACTGATACTACACTTTAGTAGTAAAATATTAAACTATCTTTATGACTCAATGTGCCAATAGTTTTGACCTTTGATTATGCTGTTTTAATGTGTTTATGGAGATGTACCTCAATACATTTCAAACAGTAAATATATATGTATACTGTATATATAGTTACTATATATTACTATAATATAATATATATTATAGTGTCAATCTGCTTTTTATATGTATATTTTTGTGTTTCCTGGACCAATTTTTGTGCTTACTTTTTGAATTAGCTGTTATTACATATTTTTGCAGGGTGTTTACATCCCTGGCCCACTATAGGTGGGTGATCCAGTCAGCTGTTATATTACAGTGATGGCAGTAATCACCCACTGTTAATTGTTATTTGGAATAAAGCGCTTAAAAGTTTCTGATGGTTGACAGCAATTGGCATGGGATGGATTTCTCTTTTCAGAAATCAGCAAGACAAAGCAACATTAAGACCAAACTTCAACTGGTAACTATGTTTGTAGAAGCCTTTTATTAGTTAAGCTTACCTGATGGCTTTTTTTGATATACTTTGCAAAGACAATGTTCAACTTTATTATGATAAGATTAGGTCAGCAAACTGTGACTCAGCATAATTTCTAAACTCTGCTGAGTCATTTTGCAAGCCCATAAAATCCTCAGATCTCTCTTGTTAGTGAAGAATATGCTGAGTAATCAGGAGATTGGTTGTTTTTTCAGATTCTTATCTTGTCATTGACATCATCAAATTTTGTGCTTAGGTTGTGGTTTGACTGATTGTCCCACTTTTACTTAACCCTTTTAGGAAATATTTGTCTTTTTCAGACAGATTATGATGTTTTGGTAAAGGGCACCTGAGCACCCGGTGTCTCAGCCTCACTCTTGCTACACTGCTTACCTTCACTGCTTTTTTACTTGCATTATGTTTATCTGTTTGTAAGCAGGCGACCTCTCGGCTGGATTTTCAGTGAGAAAATGGACTTATCAGGCAGAGTGAAGTTGAGGCATCAGCAGGTTTATTTGGCTCCACAGCATTCACTCTCCATCAAACACACAATCTCTGGCTTAAATAGACACAGCTAATGGACTAAACGATTTACATGAAAATTTACTCCTCACTTCCATCTACAAACACAGATTTAAATCAAATATCTACAAACACACACTTAAGGTTATTTTTTTATAAACATTTTCTGATTTAACTTGCACCCAAACACTATATAAATCCCAAAAACTATGTGCACAGTTCCCCCTATATTTTCCATGGTCTCTCCCAAAACCTTTAAATGGTGTCTGGACCCCTGGGGAAGCATTTGTCCAAACACCCTGAAGAGGACACAGAAAAGACAAGTAAGTCACTTTCTCAGCACCACAACATTTCTTTCGCACTCACTTCTAACAGACTTTACACTAACATTTGCTGAAGTTTCTAAACAGTAACGCTTGCTTGCTCTAAACATCAATTCTCTTTTTCACGGACAACCACCCCAATTGCTAATGGAGAGCAAATGTGGAGAGCCTGGAACAAAAGGCTACATGCTAACTATTAAAATACCCAATAAATATTCAATAAATATTTTAAAAACCTTGTGTGCAAACTGTTCTTTATGTGCAAATCTATGCTTAAAGTGCAATGCTAAATAAAGTGTCCTAGTGCTAAGCAAGCTGATTTTTAATAGAGTGCAAAGGCCCCTTTAAAGTGCTACAAGCTATTTACATAAAAAGAGGTTCACACTGAGCACATGTGACAGATGTAACAGAGTCTGTAGAAAGAATGAACGGTTTGGCAGTGGATCAGTAATTGTGTGGGGTGGCATTTCTTTGGAGGGCAAAACAGCCCTCCATGTGCTCTCCAGAGTTTGCATGACTGCCATTAGGTACTGAGAGGAGATCCTTGGACCCCTTGTGAGGCCATATGTTAGTCCAGTTGGCTCTGGGTTCCACCTCATGTGGCTGGATTGTGTCAGCAGTTCCTGCAAGATGGAATACAATGAAGCTTTTGATTGGCCTGCAGGTTCCTCAGACCTGAATCCAATTGACCACATCTGGGAAATCATGTTTCGATCCTCTAATCCTTGCAACGACTGTCCAGGAGTTGGCAGATAGTTAAATCCAGGTCTGGAAGGAGATCCTTCAGAAGACCATCCACCACCTCATCAGGAGCATACCCAGGCATTGTAGGGACATCATACAGGATATATGGAGGTTACAGAACAAAGTATTCACTGAGGAACTTTCATTTATTCAGATCTAGAATGTGTTATATGAGTGTTCCCTTTATTTTAGATATATATTTTACTGTATTTTAGACTTTGAAACCACTAAGCAAAAAATAAAATGCCTTTTGTATATGAAAACCATTCAAGTGACCATTGCAGTTCTTTGTTTACATGTAGATGTCTCTTGTTCAGGTAGTTAAGGCAAGTCATTGGATGAGTCAGCACTTTTTCAAATGTAATCTTTTTTACTGTATACATTGGTTAATAAATTTGATTTCAATTCCTGATTTTTCTGTAATTTTGTTTTCAACATATTAAACTTTGCACAGAATAAAATATTCGGTGAGGATATTTCATTTATTCAGATCTAGGATGTGTTATTTTAGTGTTTGTTTTATTTTTTTAAACAGCATTTTTAAGACTATGGAACCACTTAAGAAAAACTAAGATGTATTTTGTGTATGTAAACCAGTCGAGGGACCATTGCAGTTCTTTGTTTTCATCTAGGCGTCTCTTGTTCAGGCAGTTTAAGCAAATCATCGGATGAGTCAGCACTTTTTCAAATGTAATCTCTTTTACTATATACATATACAGCTGTAAATGGGTAACCACCCCTCACACTTATCTCTGTTGCCGGATCAAAGGATATAAAAGGCTTTGATTTTGTCCTTCACTGCACCAGTGGCAGCTTCTCTCTGAGCAACCCTCACTCAAATAAAAAAGATTTCAAGATGACCATGCTACTCGCCTACTGGGATGTCCGTGGGGTAAGTGGTTGTTTTACTTTTTTGTTGTCTTTCTTTACTTTTGTTTTAGATTTAAAGCTATTTTAAACATACATATATATATATATATATATGCAGATCACTGAAACTGCAAATGTGACACTAGCAAAAACCTCGTACAGGTTATGTGCACAACACTCAAAAAAAACACATAGGCGGATAACATAATAACATAATTGCTCCAAGAACCTAAAGTTTGATTCTTGAAGGAAGTTCCTACTACAATCCCTGACGTGTAATTATTAGATAAGTGCAGATAGGCTTCTATTTTTGAAAACGCACCTTCCTACGGTCACTGGAAGATATAGCTGCAAATGTAACTGGTACTGTCGAGGAAAAAAGCAATGAGGTGAGCACAGACCCTTGAGGGACCAAATCCAGCCCTGCATGGGTCTACAGTAAGAGAGATTGTTTTAAAACTAATATGCTTATATCTTCCTGATAGACAGGATCTCAGCCATGACAGTGCATTTTTCAAAACTGTGGTAAATTATTTAAGTCTTATTCAGTAAAATATGATTCAGTAGCTTTAAAAGCTTGCAGAAAGACTAATTTATTTTATTTGAATGAAAATATGTCTTATTTTGAAGAGTAAACTTTAAATATAAGTAGTATAAGTAGTCAGAGGATTTTAGCTAGATATAAGATATCCAACTTGATTTTGGTTTGTATAGCTTGATGTATGTGTCATTATTACCTAAATGTTAGTATTAGTATGTCCTTTGATTCTATTCATGAAGAATTTCCAAACTTGCAGAATCTTTAAATCCCTTCTCCGTTATCTCTTTACCTCTACAGTTTGCTGGACACATCCGCCTAATGCTGGAGTACACCAAGTCCAACTACCAGGAGAAACTTTATGCCGTCGGTGACGGTAAATAATAACCATTACAAACAATCCATGTCATGTTTTATGCCACTTTAACTTTGTTGATTCAACTCCTATTCTTCTCTAACAGCCCCTGACTTTGACAAAAGTAGCTGGCTTAATGAAAAATTTAAGCTTGGGCTAGACTTCCCCAATGTAAGAAAATATTGCTTGTTATCTTACCTATGTACTAAGGCAGGTTTAAATGTTTTCTGTGTTTACAATCAATGGCGTGATATTTACATCCCTCCACAGCTGCCCTACCTGATTGATGGAGACAAGAAGGTGACACAGAGCATGGCAATCCTGAGATACATTGCACGAAAGAATAACTTGTGTGAGTATCGCTTATCTTGTTCAAGTATGGTTTAAAGTAGTTCATCCTCTACATACATAACTCATTGTGACAAAGATTTCCATAAAAAAAATCAAACAAAAAAATAAAACTTTCAAGCTGTAGGTGTTGAGTCTTTTTTTCTGTAACCTTTAATAATAATACATTTTATTTGTAATGCACTTTACATTTTAAGAAAAAATCTCATAGTGTTACAGGTAAAATCATCATAGAAGGGTAAAATCAAAATGAAAAAGTAAACATCACTTTAAAACACTTATGAATAAAATCAATAGCATAATTGTAAAATGTTAAAAGTCATAGTCCCTGCTAAAAATAAATATTCTTAATCCTTTTTTAAAACCTTTCCTAAAACAGGTGGAGAGACTGAGGAGCAGAAAATCCGAGTGGACATGTTGGAGCAGCAGTGCCTTGATCTTAGAGCCAGCTTTGTCAGGATGTGCTACGTTGACCTTGTATGTTTATTACTATATAACTGTAAAATATTCAGTCTAACTTGATACGTTTTAGTATACCTTAACACCAATTCTACATCTCTGAAATTTTGAAATCAGAAAGGTCTAAAGCCAGATTACCTGAAGGCACTGCCAGATGCACTGAAGCTGTTCTCTGACTTCCTGGGACAGAGGAAGTGGTTTGCTGGTGACAAGGTAACTTATCTTTTGAACATTTTTAAAAGTCATTATCAAGAATGTATGTGCTTCATTTAAGGTTTCATGTCATTTTTCTTTTTTTTAAATAAAATTACATTATCTTGAAAAATCCTTGTATATTAAAACGGACTGATGATGGATTATGATTATCCAAATGTGGGCTAATTGTCACAGAAACTGACATTGTGATATTCTACCATACTGTAATATTACAATGTCATATTTGATGACTTTGCTCATAGGCTGGATTATAAAATTTACATCAAATGAATAAACATAACAACCATCTACTTTAGAATTGATTGGATATTTAAATAGGTTTATATTTCTTTTTAAACCAGCTGACATATGCAGACTTCATCATGTACGAAATGCTGGACATGCAAAGGATGTTTCACCCTCCTTGCTTGGACAACTTCAAGAATCTCAAAGCCTTCTTGGACCGTTTCGAGGTAAGAAAAATCTGCTTTCTAAAATTTACCATGAATTGTCCACCACCTTTTTCATCATCCTTTCAAGTTTTCCCCATAGTAAGAGTTATCTGTTGCACCAGAGCAAAAATAACAAACAAAAAGAGTAGGTTTATATCTTGTTTTCATAAATGTCTTTATTCCAACTTTCCGGTGGTAGTATAAAAAATGATAAGACTTTCAGCAAATATGACTAAATGCAAATCTCTTGCTAGGCCTAAATGCATTTGACCAAAAAGTCATATTTGTTTGTTTTGTATTCTTTAGGCTCTGGACAGGATTTCTGCATATTTGAAGTCAGATAAATACATCAAGGAACCTATCAACAACCGTATGGCTCAATGGTCTTTCGAGAAAAAGAAGAAAAACTGAAAATCCACAGCTTTATTCCAGGAAGTGATGATGTATGATTTTAAAAGTTAATAAGTAAAGCTGGATTTAATACTCAGAAAAAGTCTTTCCGATCATTCTCACCAACAAATGGACTAACATATTTACTACAAGAATGCTTTATTGTGTTTGCCAAAAACTATTTTTACATTTCCAACATTTTTTGGCCAATTCAAATAAATATATATATTCTCTGAACTTTAGTCTGAAGTTGCTTCTTTCTGTTTTAGATTTTTTTTCTCAACATGATTTCTAATGAAAAATACAGACATTATGCAGGTACAGCAGAGCTGTTGACATAACATAGATTTTTTTTCTCTGTCTTTAAAGGAAGGGTATGTTAACTTTCTAGCACAACTGTAAATATCTCATAAATATCCAAATATTTATGTTATAATGATCATTTTAAGCTGCTTTTCACAGTTAAAACACACTTTAACACAGTATTAAATAACATCCTTAAAGTTGAATTAGTCCAGTTCCAGGAAAAGGGGTCAGAAGAGCTTAGTCATGCACCTTGTTTTACCCAATGATGTTACATCTATAAAACATCTTGAAAGTTATTTGGCCAAAACATAATATTTTATCAAATTTGTTCATCTTAAACATGTAGGAACATCTAGTGGCATAAACCTCACACTGTATGCAGATCCTCAATAAAATCAGCTTTATTGTGGCAGTGAAAGGGAAAATATTTATTTCACCTAAAGCTATAACTTATTTCATTGTAACTCCCTTTTTTTGATTAATATATGTAAAAAAAAAAAATCAAACAAATAAGCTTCTAGCTTGGGTACGTTTAACAGATAACAGTTCTTAAAACTGCCCAAATTTCCAAAAGATAAAGAAGACAAACATAAATTTCACCATTTGATCACAAAAAGGTTCTCTTTCAAATTGTCCTTTTAGTCAGTGACCTGAAAAGTTTGCAAGATCTGTGTTATTTTACATCTTCCCTAAAACCAACACAGACATTAACATCAGGCTAACATGATGAGGCATTGTCAGGCTTCAGGGCTGATTTTCTGTCCCCAAAGCCAAGTACATTTTGGATCTGCAGCAAGACAGCGATCCCATTATAGTAGAAAGGCTATCTCTTACTTATAAAAAAAAAAAAAACTCAATTGTGTGTGTTGGATTGGTCTCGCCAAAGTCTGATCTTAAGCATGCTGTGTATACTCCGAACGACTCCATGACTGAAATGAGTGACTCCTTTCACCTGCTCCCTATTGCAGGGGTAGCCACTAGGTCATTCCAGCTTGCACACAGACCTAAAAGCGATTTTATAACCGAGGCCATTCCTGATGCTTCCAATTATTAACCCCTGTGTGAAAGATGTTGTTGCCGTGGACCCATTTTTATTTTTATTTTTTTAAGTAATTACTTTTTGACAAGGTTCATTTGGAAAGCACTTCCATTAATTAATACAATTATGATTTAAAAATTGCTTTTGTATTTGCTGAGATTATTGATATCCAATAGTAAAAATGCCTTCAGCCTTGACTGTGTTTTTATGAAAATAAAGAAAAACACTAAATGTCCTGTTGTTGATGGATGCTGCTATTACAGAAAAATCTACAATTATTGATGTCATTGTATTGGTTATGACTATATGGAAAAAAAATAAGTACATTTTCAATATTCGTTTGGTCAGAGCTGTTTACAGTAAGGTAAACTGGTCTTAGTCAAGCTGCTGGTGGTTTGATTGGTGCATCATACTGTACATACCTTTGTAAAAACAAAAGCAGATAAAACGCATTGACATTTTTTTTTTTTTTTTTTTTTTTTAGCAAGTTCAGCTTACCAAAATAAGATCTAATAATGTGAAAGGAAACTAGTTTTTCAATTTCATTTTGTGTCCTACTTTTGGCTTCAGTTGTATTGTCATATTCCATTTGCTTGCCTGCACAGAACTGTAGAGACATCTTTGTTTGTCAGTACTTAAGGGCTTTGTCCTTGCCTAGTTTGTTCTTCTAAGACAATTATTTATCTTGAATTTCACATGTAAAGGCTACCTACTCATTACTGTGAAGAGAAGAATACAGCAAAATAAAATGTTTTACTTTCTTTTTCAGCCAGCACTTGATAATCACAAGGGATTTATGAGAGTATGCAAATAATTAATCCAAAGGTGGAAAACAAAGACCGAGTTGTTGCGTTGTGATCATTCAAGTTGCGTTAATGTAGGTCACAGTGAGCTGCAGCCCTAACAAATAATTTTGACCAAATAGATGTCGATTTTTATCACAAACCGTTATAGGAGAGCAGCTACGACGTCTTAGAACAATGAGCATAAACATAAAAAGATATCTAAGAATAAACTGTTAATTTATATTTTACACGTATAATCCAAGATAAAACTGTAAAATGTTACTTTACAAAAACAAGTCATGTCTGTTTTGGAGATGTAAAAAATGTCTTACAGCTTATCTATCCACAAAAAGTAAGAGTAGGGTGACAATCCAAACTGAAGGCTAAGGTTATAATCAAAACGTATAGATCATGCTGATATGAGTTGTAATTATGGGGCAGCATCCTGCAGGCAGTGAGGGTTCATCTTTTGGTTTTACAAGTACAGTATAACTAAACTAGTAGGACAAACCTACATCTTAATGCATCCTGTGACTTCTAACTTTTCGTTAACTATTATAGATAAGTGTAGCCAGTATAAAAAGGGACAGATTTTGTCTTTAATTTATCCTAGTGGGTTTTTTTTTCCTGTTTGTGTGCTTTTCTTTTTTCTTTTATTCAGTTTTTTTTTGGTCAAATTGTTTAATTTGTTTTACAAATGTTTTTGTTTTCTTCTATTTTATTGTCTAATTCATGTAAACCACTTTGATTTGTCCACATATTGAATTGTGCTATACAAATAAAATTGCCTTGCCTTGCCTTGCCTTGTCTCAAAAAAGAATCAGGATTTTATTCCAAAAAAGTAAAAAAAAAAAAACAATCCACTAGACTTTGGTTCCAAGTTTAAAGATGTTTCACTCCCCATCCAGGAATTCAATTCAATTAAAAAAAAAGTTTTGTGAGTGGGAATCTGAACCTTTTCAAACTTGTAAACAAAGTCCGGTGGATTGTTTTTTTTTTTTTTTACTTTTTTGGAATGACTATGACCCGGATGACTTAGAATCTTCACCAGCAAGATTCAGGATTTTAGCATAGAGAAGTTGTATACACTTTATTGGTAGCAGAAATCACATAAATTATATCTACAATTCAATATCTGGCTACACACTACCTCATCCCTTGGTTCACTTGCTTATTTGTCGGTTTATGCAAATTTCCAATCAGGCACTCACATGTCTCAAAACTAATTTAGCCATCTGAATGTGTTGAAGGCAACTTGTTGATGTTCAGACTGAATGAGAAATAAAGGTGGTGAAGCATTGCATTGTTATTGAGGCCATATGGGCTTATCTGAGTATTTTTGCGAATCAAGTTGCCATGGTAACTAATTGTTTGTGAAAATTATTGCACACCTTGGACACCCGAGCCGGGTTGTTTTGATTCTGATATTGTGGGTTTGCGTCCTACGGTTGGGGCTGCATTAGAATATTATAAGGAGTCTGTTTTGTCCACAGAATAATAATAGATGCCTCCATGCAATGCATGGGCATTTCATGCTCTATGTATGTCTTGCTATGACAGACACCATTTTAGATTTAACAAATGAACAACATATCTGAACCAGTTACGTCTTTAAACAGTCTTGTCCGCTTTTACTTTATCATCTCTGGATAAACTATGAAAAATATTATAAATTCTAGATTATGTATAGAATCAGAAACATTAATACAGGTAAAATAAAACAGTATATATCAAAAATAGAGACCAATTCTCTTTTTTTTCTTAATACTCTATTGTTAAATAACTGTGATACTGATTTTTGTGTCAAAAACAAAAACTATATAAACTAAAATGAATGAAATATACATATGTTTCTGTTATAGGCCAATAACTCTGATCCTCAGAAGAAATCTTGCACAGTGTGTTCATATAACAGTACACTGATCTGATCAACGGGAAACATTTTTCTGCTCCTCTTATTAGCTGCAATTAATTACTGAGCTATTTCAATCCAATTTAGTAGTTTGTTTCATTTGGATAATAAACAAAGGAAACGTCACTGCATGAAAAGTGAGATTTTCGTCCCCGTAAACTCCCGCAGATCTCCCTGATTTTCG